TGGACAATTTTCCTCACCTATGAAGAGTACACTTGAGGCAACTGATATATAGTTCTACAGAAGGATGTTGAGAATACCTGGGATGGAACATGTGTGCGATGAGGAAGTTTTACTAAAAATGGAAACGAAAAGAATACTATCTATAATTAGAAAGAGACATTTAAAATGTTTGGGATACATAACGAGGAAAGTGGGTTTAGTGAATATGACACTTATTGGACATTGAAAGCAAAGAGTGATAAGTAGAAAAAGCGAGAAGTCTTTCAAATGAGCGCGTGTAAATGAATTGCAGAACGAGGGAAAATAATGGGACAAACATTACTTATAAGTCGGAAGTTGTGGAGATCCATGATTGCCTACTTCTTGAAGGAACAAGACACATAGAGTGTCATAGTCTGATAATTATGTCAGAAAATAATATTTAATGGTAAACAACCAATGTAATATTCATCATCTCTCTGCAGTGGTTACGATATTCGAGTTACGCATTTACTTGGTCAATTAGCATAATTAGTGTCATTAGTGATTAACTACATCAATAATTAAATGTGTAAAGTTTCTTACGGGAACATTTTATAGTACATGAAATAATGGTGGTGAAAAAGAGTATATGCAAAAAATAATGAACCAATTGATTTGCAATGCAAAATAACATTTATTAAAACAAAATTAACAAAAGGAAAGTTTGTTAGAAATAAATTGCATACACAACGAAATGTTCATGAATATATTATAGTGTGACTTACTGTGCTGGTGTGTTTTAGTGCCAAGCGTTCACAGCCCTTTTAGCTTCAGCGTGGAAAGTTCATGTTACGAGTTCGAAAGAGGAAAACTCGAAAGAAAAGAGAGTTCACGTGTTTTTTTATGTTCGAAGGCTTCTATTGATACAAGGTTTATTTAGGTTACTACACACTACACGTGTTTCAATTACTTGATACTGAATATTAGAGAAATTGTCTTTGATAATACCGTCCATAACACACTTTGATTAAGTCATATTCTTGAATATATTACAATACAAAAAAAATAAATAAATAAATTGCATTACAAATGAAATTATTAGAGCTGGTTTGAAAAGATCCTAATTCAACCAAGAAGGGATCCTAAGCTTTTCCTCAGGGTTTGAGAAATCAGTAGGACCAACAACTTTTTAGCGAAACCTTAAGGTAACTTGAATTTAGAGGATACACTTAATAATTACGCATTTGGAAGTATTCACAAGAAAATAAGATTAAATTATAAAGTACCGTGATATAATCTTGGATTTAATTTTCTTAAAATATATATAATATTTTTTGAATCTTTTGATGCATTTCTTTTTAATACTGTTCACTCATTACACGCCCCAAGAGCCACTCAAGGTAGAGGGTTACTAAATGAGGTTGTTGCAAGGGTGACAATAGGGAGAGGTGTATGTTATGATGATATGTAGGATAGATAACGATTGACCCTAGGCTTGAAGTGGTGAAGATTGTATTGATATGGGAAGTAAAAAAAAATCCATTACTGCAATAGATAAATTTAAAACTTCTGAAATAACTATAACAGAGCGTGTTTTTAAAAACCACTATGACAACGGAAGATTTTGTCGGAGTTACAATAGCATGTTTGTCTTTGTAATTTACCCCTGAACATGATCTTAGAAAAGATCGAAAGTACTTGGGTTTCAAAAAAACTACGGCTCCAATCTTTGATGGATTTCATCTCGCCATCAAGAAACTTATTAGACAACTGGAAATGAACAATATAAAAATAAACAGATACCATGTCTATATTATTCAACGAAACACGCTTGCGCGTACACACATATTTTTATATATATTTTAATATATTTTCTGTTTATACTTTTTAATATATTTTCTGTTTTAATGTAACCTAACGTAAACAATGACAACATATTAGATGAAATGGATTAAATCTGACAAATATTTTAAGTTACTTGTGTGGCTGAATAGTTAACAGCACGTCAGTCTACAAGACTGTTTCCGCATGGGATTCAGGTTCGATTCCTGTCGGAGAACGCATATTTTCTACGAAATTTCTCGAACATTCAGGTCGGTAAATGTAATTGATACTGTTTAATTAAAACAAAGCATTTACTCAAATGAGCTGTATCCATAAAAAATAACGTATAAACAAAAAATATATTAAAATATTTGTCGAATTTAATCCATTTCATCTTATATATATATATTAGTTTCGAATCTCTCTTTCACAGGTAGATATCAATATTTTTTGCTTTTTTTTCTTACTTTTTCCTAATTTGTTACGTCCTTCAATAAAATCTAGTCACTTTTCAGTTTCAACTGACGCCTATATATATATATATATATATATATATATATATATATATATATATATATATATATATATATATGGGGCCATTCTGCTTAGAGTTCACATTTTTTTTTATATGAAAGGAAAACTTGGATACATAATTCTGTGAAATCTTTACGGAATTCTAGTTTGCATTTAGAGTATAGATATATAGGAGAAAAGTCGCTATTTTGATGCTATCAAGATACGGGTTAACAAAAATCAACAAAGAAAATGATTCTAATAGAAGATTTTTTTAAACTCTAACATCAGTTTTATTATACATGAATAGTATACTTTGATTTTAAATTTAATAAAGGGATTTAGAACAAAGATATGTTTTCTCAGCGGACTTATTTACAGTGAAGAGATCCTGGGAGAATTAGAAGCCTACCATGATTCATTATTGACAGCCACAATCTTAACAACGTAAGATATGCAGAGGACACAGAGTTAATGGTAGACACAGAAAGAAAACTACAAGAACTCCTACAGAAGGTAATGAAAGAAAATGAAAAGAAAAGACTAAACATCGATTGTAAGATGACAATGTATGGTTGTCAGCCAAAGGAAAAATTCAAGATGCGGACTGTGAATTGACGACACCAAAATTAAGAAAGTACAAGAATTTAAATCTCTAGGAAGTTGTCACGTTCTGCGTACTTTATGGATCCTTACGCTATTACATAAAACGGTAACAACGAAAAGAAACTTTTTTTTTTAATTTGTTTTATTAAGGGAGAGTGGTGACAGCTTGGATTCTAAGAGGCAGTAGGAGAAATGATGTCACAGAAATGCACTTCGCAACTTGGATCGGCCTTCCTCCACGGATGGTTTTAGCCGGTCTCTCAACCTGGGTGTGGGAGACGTATCGGCGCATCAGAACCTTTGCAACCCTCTGTTGAATTCGCGCCGTTTTGGACTTATATCCAAAACACAGACAAAGTTAATCCATCACTGTCAGAATACCACGCCCACAAACAATCTGGTCAATCTCTGACCATTCTGGCCTTCGCATTCTGTAATAAATTTTTTTTTTTTTAACAGAGGACGGAAAGTGCCACACCGAAATCAGAAGACGCAATGGAGAATCACTTTTTATCACCTTTTTATTATCACAATAGCGTTTGCCACTCAATGGATCTTTCATTGAACCAAAAAGAAAATGGAAGTCTGAGGATGCTAAGTCAAGTTGCGATGAAGAAGTGAAAACTGCTGTGAGGAATTGGCTACATCAACAACCAGCTGAGTTAAAACAAAGCTGGGATAAATACCCTCATTCGTATGTGGAACGCTGCCATTGAAAGCGATGGTGACCCTGTTGAGAAGCTGGGATGTGAACCTGTGATGTATATCTATGTACTGTTTGTTTGACTGTGTTCCTTTTCTCTGATATAATCAAAACAGATTTCATTACTTTTTGACCCACCATCATAGAACAAAAAGGTCGCCTCATTTTGAACTGACGCCCCGAGGATACATTTTCACTAAATTCTACAAAGAAAATGTTAGAATAAAGAGAATTTTTAACCCTAATTTGAGATTTAAAATATACTATAGAAGGAAAGTAAACTTAGATTATACTTATGAGACCTCGACTTGACTCTTCTTAAAGCCATTATAGCTGACCAATATGTAGAAATAAGTATGATCGTAGGGATGACGTACACTCGTCCAGCGTAGAAATAAAGTCGTACCCATTAAGCAAAACGATCTAAATATAAATATTCTATTGCTGCTACCTTCAGTTCGAAGCGGTAGACCACAACAGCCAAAAGCAATAAATCGACAAATTAATCAGAAAATCCATTAGTACTTGATTCCACTTGTGTACCGGGTCACCGTGTTACAAACTTTGGTCTTCTCCTTTCTTCTCTTACTCAACAGTTACCGCCATCTCATTCTTATTTTCCGGCGTTTCTTCTTTACTAGTTGGCGACGTCACGTGTCGCAAACCAGGCAAAGTGGGTGGTCTTTTATCACGGTACTCTGTTTCTGTCGGCAACATCACATACACGCACGCACGCACGCACGCACGCACGCACGAACAAACAAACAAACAAACAAACAAACAAACAAACAAACAAACAAACAAACAAACAAAAAAAAAAAAAAGACACACGTACACACACAAATTTTATTTTCAAATATAAACAATCAGCATACATTATTTCAATCCAGAAAGTGAAAGTAAAAGCAGAACGTGAAAGTAAAACTGAAAGTAAAAGTTATTTTCAGATCCTTTAGCTTCTCAATAAATTAAATCTTTTTTTATTTTAATGTGTCTCATCAAGAAAGTAGGCGATCGTGAATTTCTATGGATTCCTTTTCTTTATTCTCAGTGACTTGATAGAAGAGAACCGAGTCCATCCTGTTATTAAGAAAAAGATGGATTTATTTCTTTTCCGCAAGGCAACAATAAGAAAGGAAAAATACTAGATCGGAATTGGAACTAGGCTTCTCAGTTCAAGATTCAGCACTCTTAATAAGCGTTACCCTACCCAAACATCCAAATGAACAGGAAGCTCATTTATTTCGAATAAATTAGAGAAATAAAATGAAAATGTGAATGAATAGAAATTATTAAGGTAATAAATATGAATGAATCGAGGTTGTTCTGTCCATATAAAAGTCTTTCATTTTGCAAGTTATAAGCTAAACGCCCTTCTTTGAGTGGTGGATACATATTGATAAATCAGGAAAGAGAGCGCGCGCGAGAGAGAGAGAGAGAGAGAGAGAGAAAGAGAGAGAGAGATAGTGATGAGAGAAAAAAGAGAGCACTTTTCATTCTTATCAATCCTTCTCCAGACAACGTATTCAAGATTCAAGTTTAGTTACTAGACAAAAAAGCCATTGATAAGAAGTGCTTTCTTTATGTGAATTCCCTAAATGTAGACTAGTACTACACCTTATAGCTGTGTGAAGAATAAGTGGATTAATAGCTTTCCCAAAGGTATTTGCATGTAAGTAAATATAATGAACCCAACTGGAATTGGAACTCAGCTCTCCATTAAGTATTGATCAACCGATGGATGTTTATATGCATATATATAGGCGCGTGGGCACACACACACACACACACACACACACACACACACACACACACACACACACACACACACACACACACACACACATACACTTTTCTTTTTCCCCACTTCTTATCTCTTCAGAGATTTTTTTCTAGGTCAACTCTTTCATCATTTCCTCTAGTAATTTTTAAGAAATTGTCTGGATGATTTAAACCATTTTATAACTCTGGTCTGATGAGTCAGTTGACTGTCTGAAATAAATTATTAACAAACTCTTTAATGATGCATTGAGTTTTTCCTTTAATCCTAGCATGAGGTATTCGGTTGTGTAGTCGCACTGACGAGCTGTGATACAGTGAAACAGTACTGTCTGTGAATGACACAATTTAGCTCTTGAAAATATATTTCAATTGAGCGCTGTTGAATGACAAGCTAATTCTATAAACAGCAGCCACTTGCGCTAATGCAAAGCTCTTCAGTAAAATGAATCGAGCCCTATGGCTGATTGGCATTTGTTTACATTCGTAAAAACAATACGTTAGATTTAGCTAGCTCATTCTGTCGAATGAAGATAGCTCAGTTTCAGTGGTAGAAACTCTGACTGACAACAAATCGGTTGAGTTTCAATCCTAGCTTGAGGTATTCGGATGTCCAGTCGCACTGAGGAGCTGTGATACAGTACGGTCTGCGAATGATATATATATATATATATATATATATATATATATATATATATATATTTTTCCCACTGCCTTGCGATCTCATTCAATTGAGAAAAGCTGGAAGAGTTAGACTCGCAGAAATCAAAAGGGAGAGACTCTTAGGTGGCTATTGCTCAAACATGGTAAATATCCAGCATTCCCTGCGACTCCATGGGTAACTGCGAACGTATTGACTTGTCTTTCCCTGTCAGTGGAGAGGAAGTGGGTGTTGTTTGTTTAGGCACTTGATTCTAAAACGGTGATCTTACGGATACTAGACAAGTGAGCTGAGAGGACACTATGTCGGTCATTGTGAAGCTTCCCCAAATTGTCGTGCACGTTATAATCGATTCAATCCTATTAGTTGGTTACGCCCGCTTAATCCTGGCAGCCCCCAGGTCAGGGTTACTTCAATTGGGGTCATAGAAAAGTTGAAAATCTTGACGCTAAAAACGAAAAGCTTTTGCCTTTACGGACTGGAACTTGGAACGTCCGATCCATAAAGATGGGTATTGATAATATGGATCTGTCACACAGCCATATTCGGAAAACGGCTGTTATTGGGAGGGTGCTACCACGTCTTGACATAGTTGCTCTGCAGGAGACTCGTATAGCAAAAGAGGAAAATTATACTCTTTTTTGAGAGACTTAAATGTCGACCAGCACAGATTTTATGGCATTTGGGTTTGTCTTGTGCGGTCGATCAAAATCCCTACAGGGATTTCAGAGCGAATTATGTGACCCAAAGGGTAGTGTTAACCTTGTCAGTGCGTATGCTTCTATATTTGGTGCCTCTTCATATATTAAAGAGTCTTTTTATGATGCTCTCGCAGACAATGTTAGGCTCATGAATATTGAAGAACCGCATTTAATCCTCGGAGATTTCAACGCAGGTGTCGGCAATTAGCAGTGTCATTGGCCTCGAGCTTTAGTCTATCATGTGATTGGTACGACGAATGAAAAAGGTCAGAGGTTATAACAGGCATTCTCTGTTTTTAAAACGGAAGCCCAGGCTCGGCGGAAACGGCAATTTTACGGACACTAGACAAGTGTGAAGCTTCTCCAAATTGTCGTACACAGAGAACTTGGAACGTCCGGTTCATAAAGACAGGTATTGATAATATGGATCTGTCACACGGCCATATTCGCTCAAACTTGGCAAATATCCGGCATAGTGATTAACTTATAGCTGTGTGAAAGGAAAATTACTAGGTCGAAATTTGAACTTGGCTCACACATCTGTCGTTCGTTCTTGATACTTTATTAAATAAAACTATATTTAATGGCTGATCTGTACCATCATTGATCTTCCAATAACAAACACTTTCCCTTGCCTTGAAGGACCAACACAAGGTATCGTGATGTCATCTCAGGTCTGAACATTGGCATCAGATTGATTTCGTTCTGGCACGAAGGATTGACATTAAATGTGTCCGTGTTACGTGTAGCTTCCATAGTGCGGACAGTGTCTTGGATCATACCCTCCTTGTGAGTAAGTTAAGCGTCAAGGCCAAGCCAAAGCACTATTCTAAAGCAGTTGCAAAACTTAAAATAGATGTCAACAACTGTAAAAGTTATTCCCAAAAGAAAAGTTTTAAAAATTAAATATATAAAAAAAATGATTTTTAACTGCGAGAGTCTATGAGAGTTGATAGGCGATGGAAATTGCTATTTACGAATCCGCTAAGTCGACCTATGGTGTAATCAAAACCGCTAAAAAAGATTGTGTGCGTGAGTATACCGACTACTTGTTGCTACTTTATTAGATAAAAAAAATAAAGCACTTCTAGCCGATAAGAAAAATCCAAGTCCAGAATTAAAGGAATGTCTTAGCACAACCAAATCTATCTGGCAACGCAAGGAAAAGGTATGTGAATGAATATTGGATAAATCTTTTCAAAGAAATTCAAGCAGCACTCGATCGTGGAGATACAAAAAATGCACTCTCTAATGAAAACTGCTCTAGGTCCAAACATTACCCAATTGGCAAAGCTGAAATCTGGCGATGGCGATAGAAGACCAGACTAAGCAGCTTCAAAGATGGGTGGAGCACTACTAAATACATTGCCGTACATCCAGTCTTTTACTCTTTAGACGTAATTGCAGAATTGGATAAGGTGCCTACGGAACGAAAGCTTTCTTAGGCAATAAGTTCCCTGTCAAATGCGAGGGATTCTAGCGAAGATGATATTCATGCTGAAATTTTAAAGGAAAGTGTTGTGGATTCCGAGATGAAATTCGGTCTCCAATGAATGACAAACGCAAGAATTAAAGATAAGAAATTAAATGTATTTACATAATAATACAATGTGTAATTCTGTTAGTAAATCCAGGAACGCGGTTATTAATAATAATAATAATAATAATAATGATAATAATAATAATATATATACAGTGTAACTCGGATATAAGAGAGTTGTCGGGACCGGAGAAGAAGTCTCTTATATCCGGGTTTCTCTTATATCCGGGTTTGGTCTATTTTATATACATTAACACAGGCTCTAATTTGGGACCAGAGAAAATCTCTCTTATATCCGGGTTTCTCTTATATTCGGGTTACACTGTGTATATATATATATATATATACTGTCTCGAAGTAGGATTTCTTTAGAGTCTACGTGCTTGTAACTGACTTCTACAAGCGGTTACCTCACACTATTACTCTACCTCCAACTCAATCACAATCACTGCGCATTCTCTCTCTATATTCTGACTGACTCTAGGTATTTAACGGCAGCAGTCCAAGTAACACTCTGGACGAGTCCACTTATATGAAAAAGGGGAGGACCCCATAACAGAAAGTAAGGATCTTCTCCCGCAGTTACATGCATGGCTACTGCAATGCTGGCGACAACGTGAAATACCACTCAAAATGCGGGAAGCCCAACCTTCTACAAAAATAAGGGTAAAAAGGTCGACTGTGTAATTACAGGGGATATCTCTTCGTTCTTTGGCGGGTAAGATTTTCGCTAGGATCCTTCTGAAACGCCTACAAAGGTTGGCTGATCGCATCCTGCCAGAGACACAGTTTGGATTTAGGGCTGCTCTATCAACGACTGATATGGTCTTTACACAGCGTCAACAGCAGGAAAAACGGCGTGACCCAAACTTCAAGAACCAGTGTGAAACGTCCATGATGGAATTTTCTATCATTGTTGCTAATTGGTATGCGATTGCCCCGGGGTCGAGTGGAGAGGAGAGCTGCTATTTTGGTGAAAGCAAGGATATATGAAGAGTACAGAGTTCAGTGCGCCGTAGAAGCAAGACGAAAACGCAAATGACCCACGGTGGATGACCTCACAGTATTTTACGACACGGTCGTTGCTAAAAACCGTACCGATCACTCATTGGTTGTTTCAGTCGTGAGCGGCGCAGTGGTTTTTGATAAGTTATTTTCCGTTGCCGAGTGTCGCTATTGATGAAAAAAGCCATATCTATCTATCTATCTATCTATCTATCTATCTATCTATCTATCTATCTATCATATATATATATAAAACTACTATGAATAACATGCATATACATAATTATATACAATATAATTATATGTATATTTTATATAATATACTGTTAATACACACACATATATATATATATTATTTAAAATGCTGTTTATAAATATACGGATCATCTATTCAAATACAAGTATCCATTTAAAATAACCTTTAAAATGATAAATATTTTTGGGATTAATAAATAATAATCAATTACTTTTAAAAAAAAATAATATATACATACATTTCTGGTTATATATATATATATATATATATATATATATATATATATATATATATATATATGTGTGTGCGTAGTGTGTGTGAAAGAAAGTAAAAAACATTTATATAAATATTATTGTACATACATATATGAAAATACATGCATGCATTTAAACACAATCTCTTAGACGGGTAGACTATAAAACCCAGTTTGTCCTACTATTTACCAATATCTGGGAGGAGAAGAGATATGTTCATACCTTTCCCAAGGTTATTAGCGCGTAAGAGAATGCCATAACGTCCATTGGAATACGAGTTTATGTAAGTGTATCCAGAATTCTCATTATCTTGGCTAAAAATATAAAGACGTATGTACTGTTTCAGTTTATATATATATATATATATATATATATATATATATATATATATATATATATATATATATATATATATATATATATATATATATAATGAACAACTACTATAATTTTCCGTACACACCCGTCTGCTAGGGCGGTTAAAAAAAATCCCTGTCGCTCAAAATTGCTCTGGCCTATTTGTTTTTGTTCAACACTCACAGAGCATACACGTGGTTTAAACTGCAACTATGCTGGAAGGGCTTCAGTTAAAATTGCTGGGAAAAACGTATAATCTGGTATGATCAACGGTTTGGGAAAAGGGCAGTACGCTCAAATCTTCATTCACTATGACTAGTGATTTTGTTCTAGTAAGACCAAATCAGTTTTCAGTCACAAGATATGGGTCAACTCGTGGTAAGGGTTTCAGGCATTTTGCAAATGTGGCGCACGCTGAGATCGCTTCACCAGTCTCTTAACATGAAGAACTTACCTTACTAACAAACCGATAACTGATAAACTCCTACAACAAAAAATTCTCAAATTGCCATATTAGTAACAAACGCACTCACTTAAATTTGCAAAAAAATTCAACCTTAGCGTTGCGACTGCACGCTCCAAAAGTTTGTATCCGTTATCAATAATACATTTTAAAAGAAAACATATTTCGATTCGCATTATATTTTTTCGTCGAGGATGCTACCTGAATTTTACCAAAAACAAAATAATTTCCTTTCCTGAAGATGACTGAATGTATAGTCGAAAGTGATTGCGTATTTAAGACATTATACATCTTATAATTTTAAAAACAAAGATCATAGCATTCATTGGTCTGAATGCCCGAGAAAATTTCTCGAACATTCAGGCCGGTAAATGTTGTTTAATACTGTTTATTATAAACAGAGCAGTTACTTAAATACTTGTATAAAAAAAGAATGTTAAACATAAAAAATGTCTTTATATATATATATATATATATATATATATATATATATATATATATATATATTTAAAAACTTCATCGACCGACATTGTGCAGGCAGAAGGAGAAATTTTTTCGTATTCTGTGCCTCATGGGTGGGCCGTGAGTACAAATTATTTACTATTTTGTACTCACTAGTAGCTTATTTACATTGATTTATTGTTTTAGTAATAAATATATTTTAGTCATCAATCCTTATTTATAGAATCGCATTTTCAGTTTCGTCGTGTAAGATATTTTTTCCATTTTTGCTTTTTTTTTTAAAATAATCTTTCAGAACAAATTTTGGACGAAAAAAGTTGCTTTTAAAGAAAAAGAATGCGCTCCGTCATTTTTAAAACGATGTGCAAATTCTAAGCTATAAAATTTTTCACACACACACACACACATATATATATATATATAAAACAAATATTTCTCGTTAGTGATGATAACGTTCAGCATCTACACACGCAGACACACACACACACACACACACACACACACACACACACACACACACACACACATATATATATATATATATATATATAT